GAAATGCTGTGCTCAGATGCGCCAACAGAAACAACTGCTCTTGAATTGGTAACATCTTGTGGTTGCTAAGTGCTCACAGTGCCAGGAGCACTGGGTCCCCACATGGCCAGGGGCCAGTCCCTCGTCTCCAAGTGAGGGGTCAGGGCACCCGAGGAAAGGGACCTGGGTAGATGCCAAACACAGAATTTTTTCCCCACATGTTAATTCTTCCCCAAAATGAAATTACAAGTTTAGGCAGAGTGTGCACAAAATCTGGAGAGCCAGCCCCCTTTAAAAGCGCAGAGGGGCTCATCCAGCAAAACCTTGCAAAAAGATTGATGCCATGTAAGTGATCCTCAGGTTGGTTAACAGAACAGAAAAATCTGAATCAGTTTTTATTTCCTTTGAAATGGTCTCTGATACTTTTCCTTATGTTACCTTGGTGAGCATGGAGTATGCAGCAAGACTGTAACACTAACACAAGTTAAAGGAATGGAGACATTTTCTCTCTGGAGCTAAAACCTTTCCACAGCAACCCAAATACAGATCCAGGTTTAGCTGTACCTCCTAGCGTCTCCTTGCCACCCAGAAACAGAGGAGACACAGACATCCCTGTCCCTGTGGAAAGAGGGCTCTCACCTCTGCCGAGGAGGGTGTCATCAACTCAGTTTGAAAAGGATTACATGAAAGCTCAAGAAATTTAAGTAACTCGGTCAACTCACCTACAGCACCCACACTGTCTCAGTATGGGGCCAGATGTACGTGCAGTGAGTCATCACTGAGAAACACCACGTGATGGGAAGGCTGTAGGTGAACCCGAACCCAGAGAAGGTGAGTGAGAGCCAGAGAAGGGGAGTGAGGACCACAGAAGGGGAGTGAGGACCACAGAAGATGGGCTGGGACACAGGCCGATAGGCAGTTTGGTGCATCAGCGGACTTCTTTCATTTGGATGCTCTGATCAATTAAGTTTCTAGAGGAGGTAAGTGTTGAGACAAGGGGATTGGAGGTTTAAAAAAAAAAGTCTGGTTGTGGGTCTGTGGATGGGAGTTTATGTAAGTCCTGATTCCTTCACGTTCAGGATCTGACGCTACCTTTGAAAGGAACCCTCTGGACATCAGTATGGAAGCACCATGAGGATCAGGTGCAGGTTAGACAGTGTAGATGCCCTAAAGCCAAGAACCCGAGAAAAACGCCCCCAACTCTGCCCAACTGAAGGCCCCACGGTCACGTGTGCAGCTCCCGGCTGGAGAACAAGGAGATGCAAACCAATGTATTGGGGTCCAACGGTCCCTGCCCCAGCTGATCCCCCCAGACGGCTGAGTTCTCCTGACCTGTGTGGGAAGCAGCGTCACACACACCAGGGAAAGCATGGGCTGATCCAGCATCTACTCCAAAGTATATTCCCTTATAAAATAGAGTAACATCTTCAACTTGAAAAGTTAGGGGGTGAGGTTTCATCAAAGCTTACTGAGAAGTCAGTTCATACCTGAGTGAACCAAAGGCTTGAGAAGCAGCTAGGTTCTGCTCAAGCAGGTTCCACTGTTGCTTTAAGGAGGAACAGCAAAGCTAGAGCGATGCGCTCGCTTGCTCTTGTTTTTGCCGAGGATAAATAGAGGCACTCTGTTGACTGTGACTGCACTGGGCTCACAAAGCAGTAAGAAACTGGATCATTTGCATGATGCCGAATGACCACATCCTTCTTCTGAGCCCAGAGATCTGAGCACACGACTCTGAGTCATCCAGCTGCGCTGAGTCATGGCCACCCCTCCGGAAGCAGTTCTCAGGATAGCACATCCGGCAGGGAGAAAACCTGTCCACGTCGTCAGTACAGGTGACAGAGGCTAAAGTGAGGCTCTGCTCTCGAGCCCTGATGTTTGATGGAAAGTGGGCAGACGCTCGCGGTGAGGCGGCTGGGAGCTGGGTTGTCATCTCAGTCACAGAGCCCAGAATGCTCTGGCCTTCTCAGCGCTGCTGGTGTCCAGTCGCCACGTCCTGTCCCACGGTGTGACCCGTGACTGCAGCACACCAGGCCCCTCTGTCCTCCACTACCTCCCAGGGTTTGCTCAAATTCACATCCACTGAGTCAGTCTTGCTATCGAACCATCTCAATTTCTGTCATCCACTTCTTCTCTTGCCTTCAATCTTTCCCAGAATCAGTGTCTTTTCCAAAGAGTCAGCTCTTCATGTTAGGTAGCCAAAGTATTAGAGCTTCAGCATCAGTCCTTCCAGTGAATTCGGGGTTGATTTCCTTTAGGATTGACTAGTCTGATCTCTTCGCTGTCCAAGGGACTCTTATTTTCTCCAGCATCACAATTTAGAAGCATCAGTTCTTTGACACTCAGTCTTCTTTATGGTCCAACTCTCACATCCGTACATGACAACTGGAAAAACCGTAACTTTGCCTATATGGACCTTTGTCAGTGAAGTGACATAATTTTTCCTCCCAAAGAGCAAGCGTCTCTTAGTTTCATGACTGCAGTCACTGTCCACAGTGATTTGGGAGCCTAAGAAAGTGAAATCTGCTTGCTTCCCCTTTCCTCCATCTAATTCCCATGAGGTGATGGGACCAGATGCCATGACCTTAGTTTTTTTAATACTGAATTTCAAGCCACCGTTTTCATTCTCCTCTTTCATCTTCATCAAGAGACTTGCTACTAGTAATTTAAATTATCTGGTGAACAACAGTATTTCTCCCTTAGTTTCTGCTATGATCATTTAAACCCACCTCAGTGAGGACAAAGGTCATACCTGCTTTGATGGAATTGTATCCTGAGGTCCAAGTATGACATAAATGTTTAATAATTATTTGCAAATAAAGTAATGAATGAATTAGCATATGGTCAGTGTCCTGTTGGGGTGTCAACTCACTGATTTATCTAAATTCTCTCTTCTACATTCTTATTCCAGCTAGTATTCATTCTTGTGACATGATGGTGACAGCTAATACTTATTGTTCAACCCACTGCTTACCAAAGCCCAGGAGGCAGGCATTATCATTACACTCACTTCTACCTAATGAACAGAGGCTCAGGGAGCTCAATCGATTTCAGTGCAACCTATACAGTTTAGTAGCCGTGAGAACTCACCTTCCGCAGATCCTCACTCACACTAGGCAGTTCTAACCTACCTTCCGTGCTCCTGTTCTTCTCAGCACTGTTATGTTTAAAGCTACGTCTAAACACACTGTTTCCACAGCAAGGTAGCACCACACACCTATTAGAAAGGCCAAAATCCAGAGCTCTGTCAGCAGCATGTTTTGGGAAGAGTGGGTAGCAACAGGAAGTCTCACAAATGGTGCAGACACTTTGGAAGACAGTTGGATGGCTTCTTACACAGTAAATATATTCTTACCACACAGTCCAATACTCGTGCTCCCTGATACTTACCCAAGGCTGCTGAAAATAGATGTTCACACAAGAACCTTATTGCAGTTTTATCCATAACTCAGAACTTGGATGCAACCAAGATGTCCTTCAGAGGGTGAACAGGTAAAAATAAACTCATATGTCCAGACACAATAATGGAATATTATTCAATGCTAATAATAAAGAAAGCTGAGAGCTGAAGAATTGATGCTCTTGAACTGTGATGTTGGAGAAGACTCTTGAGAGTCCCTTGGACTGCAAGGAGATCCAACCAGTCCATCCTAGGGGAGATCAGTCCTGCGTGTTCACTGGAAGGACTGATGTTGAAGCTCAAACTCCAGTACTCTGGCTACCTGAGTGAAGAGCTGACTCATTGGAAAAGACCCTGATGCTGGGAAACATTGAGGGCAGGAGGAGAAGGGGACAACAGAGAATGAGATGGTTGGATGGCATCACTGACTCAATGGACATGAGTTTGGGTAAATTCCGGGAGTTGGTGATAGACAGGGAAGCCTGGCGTGCTGCAGTCCATGGGGCTGCAAAGAGTCGGACATGACTGAGCTACTGAACTGAATAAGAAATGAGTTGTCTACCATGAAAAGACATGGAGGAACTTTAAATGTACATTACTAAGTGAAAGAAGGCAATATGAAAGACCTACACAGTGCATAATTCCAACAGTATGACATTCTGGAAAAGACAAAAGTATGAAGACACTAAAAAGATCAGTGGGTGCGAAAGGTTTGAGGGGCAAATAGGTGGGACACAGAGGATGTTCAGGGCAAGACTCTACCCCACGTGACACGGTACCAGTGGACACGTGTCATTATACACTTGTCCAAACCTGCAGAATGTCATCACCAGGAGTGACGGTGATGTGTCCTTGTGGTTCATCCACTGTAGGTAATGCACTTTCTGGGGGAGACATCGGTAGTAGGGGAGGCTGTGCGTGGGGGATGGGGACAGGAGCTATATCTGAACTCTCTGTACCTTTCTTTTCAGTTTCTGTGAATCCAAACTACTATTAAACTAAAATCTAAAATAAAGGTCTGCTGCATGAGAACAGAGTATTTCATACATGTACTGCATGTACATATATTCTATGTCCTTTATAGTTCTACAAATACATTTTATTACAGAGACACACAGACATGCACACAGAGGAGCCGATCTGCAGGCTAAGCAGTGAAACCATGTCCTGAGTAACTAACAGCACTGTGAGATCCTTCATCTTTGGCGCCTCTGCTACACTCCTCGCATCTGCTCAGAGACAGAAAGAGCCATAGTTACTTTTTCTTCAAAAAGTGCATCTCGGTTCTGGTCAACCTGATCCTAGGATATGAGGAAGTGCTCTCAGGTGCAGAAGCAAACCGAGCCCAGGCCTGCCGCTCCCAGCTCGGCTGCGGTGTGGGGCCTGCCTGGGCCCGTCTGCATTTCTGACGCGTCATCCGAGTCACGTGTGCCGCTCCTGAGCCTCGCGTTGTCCTGATGCCACTCCGGTCATTTGCACATTGTTTGCACACATTGTCCTCATGCAGCTGGCTCTTGATTCACAGGAGCCCAGCTGGCAAAGCAAAAATACACCCCGGCTACGTGGATCAGCTCCTCACTCCCCACAGCCTTGGCTGAGAGCAGCCCAAGGAAAGAAACGCTACCTATGAAGAGTCCAGGCTGGGCCGGAGGAGCACGGGGAGCTGAGCCACGCTGGACCTGGGCCTGTGGCCGCGGCTCAGCCCAGGGAGGACTTGTGCACAAGTCACGGCCTCCGCGGGCTCATCCTCCTGAGGCCACGGCCTCCCCGGCTCATCCTCCTGAGGTCAGGGTGCAGAGGAAGTGAAACCAGGCGGCAGTTGCCAGCATCTAGAGGGAGACAGAAAGAAGCCAGGGGGCTTCTGCCCACCACCCCTCCTTGAGGCCTTGGGACAGGAGACTCTGCAACTGAGTCAGGGCATGGGCTTGCCCACCTCTCTGTTCACCTATTTCAGCATCCTTGGCAAACAGCTCACCTTCCTGCTACATGTGTTTTTTGATTGCTTGGGCTTCACTTCTGTTTCTAGCTCATTTGATCTAGGGGCACGGTGACAAATATGCAATAATCATCACTGACAGAAATGGTCTCACTCCCAGAGATTGATCTCAGGATCAGGCTGACCTCAGGAAAGAAGTGAATTGTGCCGGGTTTCTATGATTTCTGCCTCAGAATCAGTAACTGGGTGGATACATTTCCCATTCCTCACAGTGAGAGATGAGTGAAAGTGATCTCTCTCTCTCTCTCTCTCTCACACACACACACACACACACACGTGTCCTAAAGCAGAGAACAGGCTCGTTTCTGAAATGCATGTGGATGACCTCAAGACAGGGGATTTCCTCAGTGCTTTACCCCTGCCTCAGACCACAGCACACCATCAAGATGAGAAAACCAAGCATCATCCCTTTTCTTATTCTAAGCATGTAACTGTCATCTTGATCTCCAGGCCCCGGCTAGCACTGGGCCCCTACACCTTCGTCCTCTAATCCAAGTGTCCCTTATAGCACTTTCCTCGACCAAGGAGTTCTTGTTCTTCTTATTAAACAAACACAAGAGCCAGCAGAAATGTAAGAAAAGGCTTACTATCACTAGATTTCCAAAAATGAAAGTTCGAACAACAATCATCTGCTCTTTGCAGCTAAAATGGCTGAAACAGAAGAGAGAGCCATTCCTGGGCTGTGAAGGCAGAAAAATCACTGTTCTGTGTGAGCCTCAGTGGGATGTCAGGATGAGCTTTTAGAAGGACCTTTACAAATGTGTGCTGATAATTTAAAAAATATGTGCAACAGTGCCAGAAAACTTTTGTAAGGGAAAAAAAAATAAGAAGCAAGCAAATGTGTATGCTTAAAGAATAATTTTTACAGAAGTATTTAATGAAAAACAACAACAACCTGGAAACAAAATTAATTGCAGTTAGTAAAAGAGTAACTAAATGAATTATGATAAATCTACACAGTAGAATTCTACTGGCACCAAAAATCATAATTAGAGTTTGACTTGGAAAAATGCCAACAATATACTGTTAGGTGAAAAAAGTTTACAAAAGAGTAAATACAATAGAACCCTACTTTTGGAAACTATAATGCATACAAACATTGACAGAATTTGGAAGAACACCTACTAAAACATTAAGAAGAATTATTTCTGGGTGATGAGATATGGATGATTTAATTTCAGGTTAGTTTACTTTTATTTATTATTAATAGTTGATAATGAAAATAAATTACCTCTACAAGAAAAAAAGTATGTTTCCCTTAAAAATATAAACACATATTGCAGCTTGGTACATTAATTTTGACACATTGTATCAATTTTTCTAACATTAGAACAAATATTAAAATAACCTGAGTCCTCCCTTCAATATCATAATTTTCTCCTATTTTGTCTAAAGGAATAAAAGTTTAAGGGTCACATTTTAGGAGAGGCCAGTGTAGATTAACTCACAACTTCCTTTCATATTTGCAATTTGGGTTCAGAATGTCAAACTATATTTCTCCAGTCTCCCTAGGGATTTTAATTTGACAGAAATCAGGATTTCAGGCTCTCAAGTTTAATTGCTTTTTAAAAATGTATTTTTTTTTAATTGAAGGACAATAGCTTTACAGAATTTTGGAATTGGTTTGCAGCAATACCCCCAAAATCTCCAGCTGTAGCACACATACCTTGAGCTTTGCAGAGAGATCATTCTTCCCTCAGTCAGGCCAGCTGAAGGCTGGCACCTGTCATCTACCTCTCATCAATTAAATAACAAGCTGTCCTGACCACTGACCTTCAACCCCCTGAGAGGAGTTGAGGGTGGAGATCAGGAATGAGGCTCTCTGTGCTCTGGGAAAAACTGGTAGAACAGTCCTTCAGATTGATAGATATTTCCAGAAGATATAATGAGCCTAATTCTTGCATCTCCTCATATCTAGAGAAGCACTAAAATCCTTCATGGTGATGTCTGCTCCTCATGACTAGCAGCAGCCTTCCGAAAAAAAACCAATGTGTTTGCATGTATTTCCCACTTCACCAAAATCGTGTATATTCTGACCCCGCCCTGCCTCTTTGGGGCAGTTCCTCAGAGCTTTCTGAAATGCTGTCTCCCAGGCTATAGTCCTCATTTTGGCCCCAATAAAACTTGACTCACAGCTCTCACATCCTGTGCTTTTTCAGTCGACAGTGGGGCATCTGCAAGGCTCACTCACGTCCTGTCAGCATCATTTCTTGCGCATTATCATGTGTAGGATGAGGCCACACGCACCAGAGGGGCTGGACAGACAGTCCTGTCACAGGAGCAGCTCAGGGCTTGGAGAGGAAGCCAGATACCCACAGGTCCTGCGACTGTGGTCCATAATTGGTTGGGGGTCCAGGGAAGAATTTCTACACTTGTCAGGAGCCGAGGATGGGGAGCGAGGTGCCTGGGGGCTGTCCATAGGGTCGGGGAAAGTGCTGCACCCAGGACCCCGTGTTCCAGGGACCCCAAGTCTGAGAAGAGAGGCGCTGCCCAGGGATGGGGTAGGCATCCAACTCTTCTCTGTGCCTCCAGCCCATGAGGTCAAGGGGACACTCAGCCTCAGGCCTGTGGTCTGAGACTCGGCCACAACCCCAGGGGGCAGGGGGCCAGTGGGACCCCACCAACAGGGGGGACAGCCGCCTATTCTTTTCTTCTCTATTTTTTATTTTCTTAAAGAGACACTTTTCCCTCTGCGCCAAGAAAACTAGAACTTGTGGTTCTGGAAATAATCACCATCTGCACTTTTAAGGTCTGCACTTCGTCAAGCCTGTTATGTTCCCTTTCGTGAAAACTATTAGAAAATTTGCATTTGATGAAAAGTTTAAAAAGTCACTTTAAATGAAAGGGTTTTAATTCACATAATATTTAGGAGTGGAAACTTCCTTGTAAATTATGGATGGAACTTGGAAAGAATATGGTCTTTTTGGTTTTATAGAATATTCTTCCCTCTTTTAACAGAAGAGGAATTCAGAATCTTCTAGTTTTGAAGATTTTGCAGTATTTTGTGGCTCCACTGCAAGCAGTGAGGGTGTACTCTGCCCTCAGCCTCGCTGGACATGGAGCCTGAGAGGTGAGGAAGGGGGCGACTCTGTGCTTTAACATAATAAACAAAACTTTGTTCCTAGATGTCCGCTCCCTGGGCCTGGTTCTGACATAGGGGCTGCCTGGGGATAGAAACCAGCCTTTAATTAGGCGCCTCATCGAAAAGCTCTCAAGAAACAAATGGTTTCTCACTCCCCATTCTGTCTCCTCAAGATTTCTCTTATTTTGTGTTCAATTTTGGAATACATGCAGATCTGTAAAAGCCGAGATTTTAAAATGTTTGGCAAAATGTGCATTTCTTGCAAAACTACTGGAAAGGTTACCAAGACAAGGCAAAGCCATTCAGCTCCCTGGGGGCTACCTCTGTTTTGTTTTTCTTTTTTTTTTAGTATTTTGAAAGTTGTCTGGGTGGGCCGGTTGTTGCGTCAGGATACTCCTCTGAGAAGATGGCCGTTAGCTGGTGTCCAGGGGTGGGGACATGGAGAAGTTTGGGGTTCACCGCACGTTCACGATGGCAGAACCTTTTCCAGCCAAGCTGTCTCGGGGGACGTGGTGCCAGCCGAGGGGCGGTTGGCGGGCCTGGCTGGCACAGCAGGCACTCTCTGAGGCCAAGGCCCTGCCTCCCATCTACCTGTTAGGGATCGGTTTCCTCCACTCTTTTATAAGAGCTTGAATACTGCTTTTGTCTTTGAAGTAACGGAGAAGCCCCAAGTGAAAAGGGCAGGAATCAAGACAAACTTAAAGCTGGAGCCACCGGACGCGTCTCCCAAACACGGTGGCCCAGGTGGCCTCGAGTGGAGCCACTAGCCCCGTCTCGCAGGATGTGAATCCATGACCTGTGTGTCCACACGGCACCCTCACGAGGACCTGAATGTCTGCGTTTGCTGTTCTATTTAAAAGTAAAACTCCTGGCTCACTGGGAGAAACATTAAATATAAACTCTATGGGTTAGGTAGGTAAGAATGTAGGCTCCCTCACAAGGATACAGAGAAATGAAGGCTGTGTTTTGTTTTGTTTTGTTTTGAAGGCTGTGTTTTATTTATTGCAACTCTGATTTATTCCCAGCTCCAGTGGCTCCATGAACCATCGGGCACATGGGCTGAAGAGAGAAAATCATCTCTCATTAGGTTTAGCATTGTGCTAATGGAAGTGACCTCCCCCACACCCAGGGACTTATCCCTTCATGAAGAATAAATGAGAACTGCCGAAGCCAAGCTACTGACAACTTAAAGCAAGGAGTTTGCGTCTCCCTCACCCCTGGGGCCCTGGACAAGCTCATGGGCTCTGACGGGACAGGCGGGCCCCGAGTGCTGGGAAGGCAGGCACATCACTGACTCAATCCGGGGGGAAACAGGAGGCGGGGTCTCGGAGGAACTGCTGAAAGCAGAGAGCCCTTCTTTCCGTGCTTCCTAATCTGTGTATTTTCTTTGAAAGATGCCAAGAACGACACAGCTGCATCCTCTTAAGACGTTTAAGTCCATGGAAATGAGGGGGCTTTCAAAGTTTAATTATGGAACTAGCTGCAGACACATCTAAATAAGGGGAAATGAGTCTTCTAAAAAAGACCTTCTCTAAAAGGTTGTACAAATGCAAAATTGTGTTCTTCAGACACAGGAAGGCTGGGGTCTGAAGCAAGTGGACAGCCTCAAGGGTGCATGTGTCCATAGCTCCTCACAGGTGACCAGGAAGGAGGCAGGTCCCTGACTAGGCCAGGAGGAGGCCAGGCATCAGTGTGACCAGGG